AGTGGTTAAACATTGGACCAGGCTGCCCAGGGAAGTGGTGGAGTCACCATCCCTGGAAGTATTTAAAAGACATGTAGATGAGGTGCTTAGGGCCATGGTTTAGTGTTGGGTTGATGGTTGGACTCGATGATCTTAGAGGTCTTTTCCAACCTTAATGATTCTATGATTCAATGATAAATTACAATTTATCTGTATAGTAGAGCAATGTTCCTCCCTCAGTCTCCAAGATCAGTAGACGGTGTGTTGAGAGTGTGGGGCAGAACCAATGTCACCTGCAAGAAAGGAGCTGGAGGAACTTGAAACGCAGCAACAAGCCCAGAGCTGCTGAATAGAGGAAAGGAGAGAGTAAAGACGTAAGCCTCTGTAGTATCGATGAGTGGAGTGCAGGAGTCAGAGCTGAGGGAGGCTCAGAAGCACAAAGTATGATTTACTCAAAGTTTTAAAAGGAAATACGCTCACATGGGGACTTGTCCAAGTGAAGATCCTAGGCACAGCGTTTCGTTCCAAAATACAATGGATCATTTTTGGGGTAATTTCACATGCATTACCCTTAAAAAGAGGTAGAATTAATGCACCTCCTGAAAATTAATAGTAGTGTTCTACTAAGCTGATTTAAATGCTTATTTTCTGGGCAATGTCAGTGCTGAATTGTTTCATTCTACTTTCTAGAAATTGTAGAAGATAGATTAATCTGTTATAATATTTAAGAGAAAGATCAATACATCTTACATATTTTGCTTGAGGAAATTAAAACCACTGATCTACAGTATTCTCAAATTTTAGAAAAACTTAATGGTTGCATTTGTACTCATCCACCTTTTCTGTGTTGTATCTTAGAAGAGCAAAGGTTTTTTTCTAAATTAGCTTTTAAAGACCTTAGAAGGTTGACTCATTTATTATCTTTGTGTAGTCAGATTCTCTTCTGTGTGTGGATTTTTTTTTGCGGGAGAAAAAAGTATATAAATGTTTTGTCTTTTAGATAACAATTAATGTTTACCATCAATAATACAATTTTTTTTTATCCTTTGCTAGAAAGAGAAAACATAAGTGACTGCTGCCCAGATAAACAAAAAAATTGGTACAAAGTCTATTCCGAGGGAAGGGGAGAGACATTTTTATTATTTGCCACTGTGCTGACAAGCGTCTGGAAATGAATGAAATTACCCTCTTTGTTTTTCTTTTCAAGTGTACATCTCTTTGTTGTAAGCAATGCCAAGATACAGAAATAACTACCAAGAATGAAATATTCAGGTGAGTTTATTGCTCTTAATCTTTGGGAGGTTCTTGATCAGAAACATTGGCACAGCAAAACAGATTAAGCTGGGTTATGTCTTTGTAACTATTGTGTTTTCCACAACTCTAATAAAATTTAAGTAAATATTTATAGGGAATTTTCTTTATAAAGCAAAACAGGTTATTTGAGCTTTTTTTAATAAAAAGTTAGTAAATCCAAACACCACCATGTGTGTTGTAACGGAAGTAAGTGTGAAACGCCGTGTTATGTCGCCTTGCCACTGACGAGTTATGCGCTCCACGGTGAGTTTTGAAATACAGATTTGTTACATATGAAATCTGAGATCTCATGAACTTTATTCAGAAATAAAAGGACAAAAAAGTCTCTCAGCACTTCATCATGATTTCTATACATTAACAAGCTTCAACGGCAGATTAAAATGCACTATAGATAGGCTTCCCATATGTTGTCATGTAAGGAAATTGCCTTTTTTATGTCATTAAGCATTGTGATACCTCTTTTACTTTAAGAATATAGGATTTAATCCTAATAACTTCACTAGACAGTATATTCATATTATATATTTGACCTATACAATATCTTCCATGTTCAACAATGATAAGACTATACACTTTTTCCAAATAATTGCTGCTTCTGGCAGTCTTGTCACTATTTTAATCTTGAATAACTAATATCTGTCCATCACATGATAATATGAAGGTTAAAAGACATCTTGGTTTAACAAAGCACGACTCCCCACAGTTTTCCTTTATCAGTGTGATAAGAAGCTGGCATGGTAATTAAAAGCCATTTCTTATCATCTAATCAAATGGTGGTTTCCAGAAACCACGCTTCGTGCTGTGTGGATGTACTTTAACAGAAGAACGATGAGAAGTTAGTGTAATGAATGAACATCTTTGCTTGCTTACTTCTAAAAGTTTTTAAAAGTTAGATTTCAGAGTAGCAATGTAGGTGTTACTTGGTTTTATTGGCAGTCGCTATTCAAAAGCAGCAAGTAAAATAAATTATGAGTCTATCATGTACTTTTTTTTTTATACTGAGCTGTAGGTTTTTGAGGGACAGATTAATAACTGCCTTAAATGAGGTAGTTTCCATAGCATGCTGTCAGCTATCCTCTAAGCAACTTGTCCCCTGTAACAAACAGCTGGGCGAGGTTCATCTGAACACAATGGTTTAATCCTTACTCATGGTGATATCTTTTTAAATACCTTTTCTGAAGTAGGGACTTGATAAGTAGGTAACAGGAATAACTTACGTCAGCGATGAATGCATCAGATTTATAACACTGGACATTTAGATTTCTGCAATTCTAAGAAAATTTGACCAATGATATTTTACATTAGTATCTATTTTCTTTCAATTTTTAATAATATAATTAAACGTGCCTTTTTTTCCTACAGCCTGAAGTGGTTCTTTTGCTACGGAAGATAGTTTTAAGCGTGGTTGGCAGTTTTTCCTCTGTTTACATTCGACCGCCTTTGGTTTTTGTTTCTTCCTTGAACTCTGACAAAATCATTAATTGTCTGTTGTAGTTTATCCTTATGTGGACCCATGGCAGCATATGTGAATCCTCATGGGTACATCCATGAAACCCTTACTGTATATAAAGCCTGCAACTTGAATCTCAGTGGACGACCATCGACAGAGCACAGCTGGTTTCCTGGGTAATAACAGTTGAAAGAAATTCTGTTAGTAAATGAGAGAAATTTGGTTGTAAATGTAGTCCCGTGACAGCGGAATAGTAAATATGCAATTCTTGAAACATACGCTGTCATTTTGCTCATACGAAAAACAGGAAAGGAAACGTAGACTAAAATAGAGAATAAAATGGAAAATTCAGGTAGAATGTTTTCAGAATGTCTCTGGAATTTTTTAAGTATATGGAAATCTTAAGATTTTTAAAATGTAGTCTGGCATCTGAGAGCTATAAACAGGATACTGATTGGGAGTTTCTTCGTGTATAGTTTTGTATAAGTCACAACTGAAATCATAATTATTGTTTCTATGCAGCTTTCTTTGATCATAAAGTAAATGAAGTGCAAATGGAAAACATAATATATAAATGCAGTTATTCTACTAAGATACCTTTTTTTTAGATCTAAAAACTGAAGAAATGTAACATTAATTTAAAAATCACTAACTTTGCATTAATCTGATTACCTTTGGGGTTTATTTATTTATTTCATTATTATTATTTAATAATAATTATCTCTCTAACAGTAGCATAATTAACTGTCAAGATCTAAAAGTCTGCCTAATAATGACGGGTCTTGCATCAAAATGTCACCCCTCTCTGGTAGATTAAATTTAATGTTTTTTGGCTAGACAAGCATGCTTCAGGCGCTCATTCAAAGCTTTGAATATTTAACTCTTGAAAATAGCTCAAATGTCAAACTATATTTGAATTTTAGTGTCACAAAAATATTCTTTAAATACATTTTTTTTTACCAGATCACTTTTCTGTGTGGTCCTTTCTGTGCCAGTGTTAGAAATCATTCTTCTGTCCCTTTTGGCTCTTCTGAAGCAGCGTGAAATAGTACGTTGCTATATCTGTAGCCAGCCCGAGGTTCTCGACTAATGCACGTACACATTCACTCTTCCATTTTCTCGTGTTGATCTGGATTATCACATAGCACTGAGTAATGGCTTGGAGGGAGTGGGGCATATCTGTCATAAGAAATGCACTCTTTAAGACTCCCTGAAGAAAACTTGTGGCTTATAATAGCTAGAGTTAATTTTTCTCACCCTTATGTGTTTTCTCAGCTCTTTTCTTCTATGAGGGTTCCGAAATACTCTCATTCTGCATTTTAAAGCTGTTAAAGTAAAGCTCTGTTGCTCTGGGAAGTACAATTCCATGTTAATCTAGGAGCAGTGCAAAAATCACTTTTATTTCCATTAAGTAACTTACTCTCTGAGAACCATTTTCTGACTCTTCTTTAAGGCACACAGTATTTCATCATACTGTTGAAATGTTGTGCTAGTAAAAATGCTTTAGTTGCTTTCTCTACTTGAATGATGATTTGTTTTTGGTTTTTTTTAAATTGTTTTTAAGATCTGTGGGGTTTTTGGGTGGGAGCTGAGCACCTTAATTCCCAAAGATTCTTTGAAAATCTAGCTTGAGACTAGTAGTCCCTTCTTACCTGATAAGTGAGCTGTGTTCCAGTATTTCTAAGGTTTTTCCTTACACGTTAGCATCAACCTTTCGTTTTGTTTTCGATAGGTATGCCTGGACTATAGCCCAGTGCAGAATCTGTGGGAACCATATGGGATGGAAGTTCACAGCTACCAAAAAGGATATGTCACCTCAGAAATTCTGGGGACTGACACGGTCTGCTCTCCTGCCTCGGATTCCAGAAACAGAGGAAGACTCGGGCCATGATAGATCACCGTTACTCTGCCTGTAATCTAGTAACCTGCTCTGGAGGTGAACTGGCAGTAGTCTGTCTCCTTAAATGCATCTGCTCAGTTCTGCTTCTGATGCTTACTTAAACTTAAAAAACCCAAGAACCCACACCCACACACAAAAACCAACCGAACAAGCAGGCTCACTACGTTCGGGTTCGGTGTGTATCCACATTACTGTTGTTTCAGACACACTGAGAACTGCAGGTTGAATCCTTCAGATGACAGCGGGGGAGAGGAGGTGGCATGAGAGACCAAGAAATCGATCTGAGCGCTCTGGACAGACTTGACTGAACTTTCTCCTTCCTTGTATAATTTCAGAAAATGTTTACTGCTATCAACTTGCAGTGAAAGAAGGTGGGGGGAAACTAAAATGACAAATAAACAGAGTATAATTTATGCAATATATGTACAATGGTAGATACCAGTTACTTGCTGCGGAATATTTTCCATAATATACTTAAAAGTGTTTTTGCTGAGAATCCCTGTTCCTAACTACGTGGAATACTTCGAATTTTATGCTCGTGCTGTTTCTCAGATATTTGCTGAACAACCATCACGGAGAGTTACAAGACCGAAGTTCTCTCCTGGCTGGGACTGTGCCGGTCGTGTCGGTGGCAGTGCTGCAACTGGCAGAAGCAAGAGCTGCCCGCAGCCCGAAGAGCCGCGTTACAGGCTGCCCTTTGGAAGGAACCCCTGTGAAGGCTTCGGTCCTTAGACCTTGTCTGGTATATTTAGAACCTTTGACTTTAGAAGTCTTAAATTTTAAACTATTTATACAAAATATCCATCAAATAGATTGTCACTTACTGTCAAATGTGCTTATATTTACTTTTCAAAATTATTTCTGTGAAGATTAGTTTCCCAGCATACATGTCCAGGGTTCTGTGAAGTACTGTCTAAAATACCTAACTATGGAGATTTTTCAGTAGTACGTATTTGGACAAGGGAGAGGCAACATCTCTTTAATTTTTTATTTTTCTTTTACGCTTTCATATCATAAAGTAAAATTTCACATTATCACCCTTACCATACAAACAGCAAAAGTTTCCAAATAAAAGGCAGTGGTTTGTTTGGTTTGGTTTGGTTTTTTTGGGTTTTTTTTTTTGTCTGAAGTGCTGTCTATGCTACAGCAATCGGGTGCCAAAATAGGGCAGCTTTTGCTGCTGATTAATAAATAAATTTATTAAAAAATAAAAAGGTTTTTTTTCCCCTTGGAATGCACTTTGGTGATGGAAACTGAAGATTTCTTCAGTATGTGTACATACACTTTTTTTTCTTTTGAAGCTTTATCATTCACTCTTTATTTCTTCACAGTAAATCTTTGAGAACTTGCATTGTTAAATATAACGACACAAAACTACTGAAGGTTTAAGACATCAGCCGTTACTTGCTCGTTCTCAATCGCGCCCCTACATCAAACATACGTAGCATGGACAGATTACCTCCGTGAAAGGCGACGTCAGACCTCTCTACAAGACAAGTAGCTGATTGAAATGGTAGTGTGGGACCTCTTGCAGTGCAGCTGAGGAGACGCCCAGATGTGACAAGATGCTCGATGCTGAAAGGCTGCTGGAGTAGTTTGTTACGCTAGGTGTGTAGAAACTAATGACTGTGCAACTCAGGTTTAGTTCTTCGAAGCCTTCTACCTCTGTGCTTCTGCGATAACTTTTGTTCTCTCCGTAGACATCTGTAATACCGTATTTAATTTTGTGTGCAGTGCTCTGACTCGCCAGTGAACTGTGAAAAGCAATACTTCTTTGGATATAATTCTGAACAAATAGAGGGTGAATGATGGCTCATTTTCTTCAAGAAAACATTCTGTATTTTGATTATGTTTCTATAATAAGCTTTCAAAAGGCTGAAATGATAAGCACTAGCGTGAGACTGAGACTGTGAAACGTCTGTACTTGGATAACCACTGAAATCATACTTAGCTTTCCCCTCACGCCATGCACGTGCACACACACACGTACACACGACGCGCATGCGTGCACACAGACGCACACACGGCTGAGCTGTAGGCCTGGTTTATTTTTTCCCTCAACGATACCTACTATCTGTTGTTCCCATTACCCTCAGTAGGGCTTGTTGGTGGCAAGAAGTTTGAGGGTGCTTTGAAGTACCTTCTGCTGCCATTCGATTTAAGCATTCACGGAGGAGGGTAGGGTGAGTGAGGTCTTCAAAATTATTTTCTAAGCTATCGCTGAACTTCATAAGGTCTTTGGGTTTTTGGCCGAGTCTTTTGGATTGCCTCAACTAAAAATGGCATTATGTTGGCAATGTTTGAATACAAAATAGGCATATTTTTGGTATTGTGTGTATATAGTCAAATGTAAACTAATATAATCAAGTGAGATAAGTCAGGAGTAAATTTAGCACTAATTTAATTTTATTGTTGATGATGATGTTCCATCTGCCTAACCTGCCGTGTAATGTTTGCCGTTGCAAAGTCCATGACACTTTCCAGGTTGAAAACAAGCGCGATTCAGGTTGCCACGACGAAGATGAATCCTGCCGTGGTGAAGCTGGCCGTTACGGGGCTGCACCTGCAAGAACGCTCAGAATGTACAGCATGTGACGTGCAGGGGGGATGTGGACTCGTGGATGGTTCGATACATTGGTTAATATTTTCTATGCTGCTTTTCTCCTTTTTGGAGAGAAAACTACTGGATTGGGATTGTGGGAAGTTATTACTGACAAATACGGACATCATATGTTTTTGAGAGCTAAGTACAAAGGAAATCACATTTTATGGTGATTTCCTACATTTACTACATTGACTGGTGGGCACAGAGCTTCATGTGTTAATTAATCCGATTGACTTGCTGGCTGCTGCCAAAAGGGATCATTTTTCTCTTCTCGCCCACCGTAATCTCTGTCCTTCTTAGTGAGCTCTAGGAATTAGGCAGTCGCAGGGTCGGTGTCGGGTCTGACGGAGGCAGGAGGGACGAACAGGCGTCTTGTAGGGACAGGCGAGGGACCGCCCTGCGCAGCAGCAGGTCTCGGCTGGATCGGCGTATGTGTAGCATCGAACCGCTCGTTTTCAAGCTGTCGTTGCAATAGCATAAAGACGTCATACAATCGGAGCCTGTAATATTGCAAGTTTTCGTATATTTTAGTTTAGTTTTGATGAATAGGTAGAATCACGTAGGACACTTGCACACTTGGTCTAGAACATGTTCAAATACTCTACCGTTTGTTTTTTAATAATGCTATTTTTGTATGTGCTGCAATTCATTTTGTTCCTCTCGTTGTTTTTTCACCTTTGTTTAGTTGCTTTGTAAAAGCTGCGGAAAGGGTAGCACGTTCTCCGCTTTAACTCTTCTTCTGTCTGCCTTTTGAGACAACTTTTCAGAAAAATCTTGTTGCTTGCAAACATTTGCAAAGAATAAAATTCAACTTGTTTCAAAACTGATCTTTTTTTGCTGATTGTTGGGATGGGAAGAGAGAAAACGTTTGCGTTTAAATTGTGTTTTGAACCGGTTAGCTTCAAAAAGTAAAACGTGTTCAGTAAAGAGAGTTTCAGCTGGAAAGAATGTGCAGGCTGGACGGGCAAAGGGCAGAGAAGGTAAGAAATGACATGGAGAGAGCGTAGGTTGTCATTCCAATGGATAATCAAAATGAAACATTAAGTCTTTCATCTCAAACTATTATTTTCTCTCTCTCATTTGTGCGCTTACTTGCTTTAGTTCACCTGAGTAATTCTTAGCTTCGGTCCCAAATTATTTCCCTCCGTGTTGGCTTCCCAAGGTCTGAGAGTCCTGATGGTTTTTCCAGCACCCCCTTTATCTCCAGTTCCTCCCACGAAGAGAAATGAGGGGGTACGTGAGGGGGTTGGGTAGTGAAAGTACGGAGAACTTGCATCTGGAGGCACTTTGAGGAAAACTAGTCGGAGGCTTTGCGGCCAGGCTTGGCAAAAGCACCCCGAGGGAGGGAGG